TTATTATTGTTATTGTTATTATTATTATTATTATTATTATATTATTGTTATTAATATTATTATTATTATTATTATTAATATTGTTATTATTGTTATTATTGTTATTGTTATTATTATTATTATTATTATTATTATTATATTATTGTTATTAATATTATTATTATTAATATTATTATTAATATTGTTATTATTGTTATTATTATTATTATTATTATTGTTATTATTATTATTATTATTTATTATTTTTCGACCAGCCCTTGCATTAGGTCCCTTCAGTCCTGAGTTAACTGGATTTGAACCTGATACAGATTTTACCGCCGTAGACACATTGCCCATAGAATCAGAGGAAGTGTCTTCTGTCACCGATTCTCCTGTGCGTAGAGAGTTTCCGGAAACATGGCTGTGGACGGACTCAACTGTCGGGTAAAAAATTTTAATTTTTTTGTACAAGTTAAATGTAGAATTAATTTTGAGTACAGCATATTTCAAATAACATCTTTATTTTCGCGTTGGGTTAAACTTTGACGTGATAGTTCTGTGTCAAGGACAGTTGAGTCGTAGGAAATTGAAAATGTTTAATATTCTCATGATGACGAATTAAAAAATGTAAATCATATTGTGCTGCATAATTCAACACTGTCACAGACAGTTGGACTTAAGGGAACATATTCTAAACAACGATGAAATAATGTGCGAAAGTGTTTTAATTGCTACATCTAGTATCTATTATTTTGTTTTTCTTTTTTTTTTTTTATTTCACAATTTTAGAGAGGATGGAACGGTTTCCATCACCGCCAAAGTTCCAGATACCATCACATCTTGGATTGGAAGTGCGTTTGCTTTGTCCAGTGATACAGGACTTGGAATTGTGCCAACTACATCAATGGTGATTTCTTGCATTCCTAAATTCTTACGTTTATCTTTTGTATTTTTTTTCCGTCATTTTTGTTAATACATTCTCTTCTATTTACTGAAATTAAGAATATTGACTTCTTATTGTCCAATCTTCTTGATGATCAGAAATTTAACTTAATTCTTGACCTTGAGTATTTTGCTACATATGCTTTATATAAGTCTACTTTCAAAAGCAGCTAATCACACCAACCAATAGTTTGTGATTCTTAAAATGACTTTGGCTATGTTCTCTCACGACAGCTAACGGTTAGCAGGATCCGGATCCTGCTAACCGTTAGCTGCAGTGCGTCCATATGAGAGGATCCCGATCCGGATACCAAGAATATGAAGATCGAATAACTGGCCAATAAGAAATTGGAAATTGTAAACGCGTATATGTGATTGGTTGATAACAAAAACACGCTCAATGTGCTAACCGATAGCGCTTGCTAACCGTTAGCTGTATCCGGATACTGCTAATGGTTGGCCCTAACTGATCAGGCATTCTCACATAGGGGCTAACGGTTAGTGCTAAAGGTTAGCTCTCGATCCTGATACTAGGTCTCTCGTGAGAACTAGGCTTAATGTTCATGTTCATTGTTGTATAGTGTACAAATGTTAAGTCTCTCATACGCAATGTATGGCTGGCCTTTTTTCATGAAGAAAAGTGAGAGTTTAAAAATAAAGTACATATTTTATATAATTGTCAAATTTGTTTAAATAAGAGTTTGGGTTTTGACCTCTCTTGGCAGAATGAATTAGGTAATAGTATGGGTGTCTATATATCACTGTAAAGTAAATTGATAATCAAATTTTATGTCTGTATCTCTTAATTTTAGGTGACAGTTTTCAAACCATTCTTTGTGTCCTTAAACCTACCCTACTCAGTCATTCGAGGGGAAAACCTAGCTCTTGAGGTTTTAGTCTTCAACTACCAAACCACAGATGTTGCTGTAAGTAGTGTTTAGAATTTTATGTATAGTTACTTTTTATTTTCAAAAAACATAACTTGGGTAAGATTTTAAATATATATTTTTTTTATTTGGGCTCAACTACGTTGATACTTTGAATCTTTTATTTCATGATAGCCTAACTTTTTATTAAATTTTGTTACTAATCATATAGGGTTCACCATTTTTTGTAGTTACTTTGTATGTGTTGCCATACAGAGAATTCAAACTTATTTTATCAAACAAGTTTCCATACATCTATGTTTTATATTCTAACAATTTTGCATTCAGTTTTCATATGAATGTCATTATATATCCAATTAAATCATATAAATGTGACCCATTTTGAATTATAAACTAAATTTGTGACAGAGAGATAGAAAGATATGTTTCTTCATTCTGGATACTCAGTATTAGTGCACTGTTCTTCCCTGAGGTCCAGGGTATGGTCTCAAGCTACATTCAATTACAAAAACAAAATTAAAAGAAAAAAGTATATAAATATATATATTTATATATAAATGAAACAGAAAAGAAAAACAAATGGGTAAATTAAATGAAAATTTTAAAGGATTTTAAGGAAAGGGAATAAATATTGCTACGAATACCTGATGATAAATTGTTCCATAATTTAATGACCAATATTTAAAAGTTTGTTTTCCAAAATCATTCACCATTTTCAAAGTGTTTTTTAATTTACTTCCTACATTTATTTTATGAAAGACATCAATTAATTCGTAAAATGTTTCCTCTTCTAATATACTAGGGCGCTACGGCATGTTGCTGCTTGGTTTGTCGGCCACTTTTTACAAATTTTGACTCAGGAAAATCATTTAAGGGACCAAACTGTAAAGTTATTTTACATTAATATATCTTCTATTTTAAACTACATAATCTTAACTTTATATTCATAATTGACTCATTTTTTCAAAATTTTCTTTTAAGGCTGACATAATTCTTCACAAATCAACAGATTTTGATAACATTGAATTCCACACAAGTAACAGCGTTACAGACAATATCAATGAGGTTTATGTTAGCAAGGACCAGGTAAGTTATCATTACTAGTATGTCAATATTATTAATTTCAATTCATATTTTTATTTTATTTTTTATATCACCAAACTCATAATCAGTAAGAGTACTATACAGCACACCTAGCAAAACAATTTAAAAAATTTTATTCCAACCATGAAAATTAGTTTGGTAAAATGTCTTCAGCAGGAAACGGGGAATTCTAAAGCGCCGATGTCCGCCATTCGGTTCTCACAGTGCTTTTGCCAGTGGTTTTCTAGGGCGAGAAATTTATCATGCGGACTGCCAGACCTTTTTTAAAGGTGCCTTCCCGTATGCCAAAACAAGTTTACATGTACAAACATATTTTTTTTTTTTTTAATTTTATCTAGTCATACATTATATTATCAAAATGACGTGTTTAATAAATTGGGAGAAAAATTTTGGGGGATGGACTCGTCGACAGTACTGTGATTGCACTTCTTACTGGCTATGCCAACTGCAAGTTATCTTGTCCGCTTTTTGCATGGGTTGGTATATGTTCAGAGGGTATATGCTCAAGTGTACCACCGGAAACATAACATAATATGCACACATACGTCATTGGTTGTTATCGTCCAGGAGTGTATCATCCCCGAACTACCAGACCGTTGAGTCCGTGGCTCTAAAATGTAAAAAAGAATTTATAAATGCTACAATGTTACCCCAATTTCGACAAGCATACTCATCCCTGGCACCCTCAGTCACAGCCTGTGGGTGAGTCTACTCGTCGCTGGCAGCCAACGTGTTAAACAATATGAACATGTCTCCTGGGAACTGCAACATGCAACTGATTGTCAGTTGCACGTTCTTCTTAGCCCTACTTTAATGTGCACATTGCTCTAAAATGTATAACAAAGAAATTATAAATGCTACAATGTTACCCCAATTTCGATAGCATACTCGTCCCTGGCACCCTCAGCCACACCCTGTGGGTGAGTATACTCGTCGCTGGCAGCCAACGTGTTAAAAAATATGAACATATCTCCTGGGAACTGCAACATGCAACTGATCGTCAGTTGCACATTCTTCTTAGCCCTACTTTAATGTGCACATTGGTCTAGTTGTATACAAGTCTTGTATCTGAAAGGTGGTGCTCTTGAGGTGCTTGATGGTATACAACCTAACTAGAGGACAAAGATCTCCAGTTCAGCGCACACAAATATTCCATTTTTACCATCAGTTTTAACCAACTGCTCTGGTAATAGAGGGATTCGTCGATGGGCGTGACATGATCTAACTTGGGTGTTGGCTGTAAACAATATAATAGCACAGCAGAGATTGTTATTTCAGCTGTCCCATGTTATTGCTGTAAAGATCATCATAAATGCTGTATTTGTTCTTTTGAACGTAAATTAAGTTACTCTGAGTCGATTGTTGATATCCCTAAAATCACCACACAAACATTGTGTGAATTGACATCCAAGGGAATCTGAGATTTTTTTTGACAAATGTAGGGCATAGGCCTAGCCTATATATGGCCTGTTTAGGTATTCACAAGAGTCTTCAACCCGCTAGCAAAGGTCTACAAAGGATCACATAAGTCTATTTCGTGAATACTTACCTGGATAACCGACTAATTGCCAGACCGGGAGAAATCGGTTTTGGTTCCCACGCAACGTCCGCTGTATCTGGGGGCGCACATCGATCTTGTTCGTTCAGTGGCGTTCCCCTCCACGGGTCGGATCCGCAAGTGCCAACTAGTAATCACTCAGCTTCTTTCCCTTCCGCATTCCCCAGCCGAGTCGTGGCTGCGGATGTTGGGGTTTCTCGCGAGCCTGGTAGACCTAGTTCCTTATTGCCGGCTTCGTATGCGCCCTCTTCAACTGTATCTGCTCGCGTTTTTCTCTCCAGCGTCTCGGGACTTGTCAGCTCAGATTCCCTTGAACGCATTTGTCGCCAGGCACCTCCGGTGGTGGCTTCAGGAGAACGTGCTTCAGGGCGGGAAGTCTTTCCCCGACCCTCTCCCCGTCTTTTGCTTTTCGGCCGACGCCTCCCTCGGGGTTGGGGCGGTTGTTCGTTCACGGAGCGCATCGTGGGGGACTGGTCGCTGGAAGAATCCACCAGTCATATAAACGTTCTGGAGCTTTTAGCAGTTCGTCGGTCTCTGGAGGCCTTCGTCGATCGGGCAAAGGGGAAAGCTGTGCTAGTTCATTCCGACAGTTCAACCGTGGTCTCCTACATCAACCGTCATGGCGGCACGCATTTACCAACGCTATGCTTCGCATACGAAGCCGGCAATAAGGAACTAGGTCTACCAGGCTCGCGAGAAACCCCAACATCCGCAGCCACGACTCGGCTGGGGAATGCGGAAGGGAAAGAAGCTGAGTGATTGCTAGTTGGCACTTGCGGATCCGACCCGTGGGGGGGAACGCCACTGAACGAACAAGATCGATGTGCGCCCCCAGATACAGCGGACGTTGCGTGGGAACCAAAACCGATTTCTCCCGGTCTGGCAATTAGTCGGTTATCCAGGTAAGTATCTCACTCATAGACTACCAACATCACGATTGATTTGTGTAATTTCAAAACATACAATGCAAGGAGAAGCTAGAATAAGTAAATAAACACTATTTTGAACAATTGTATTACCTTTCCTTGCCGTTTATTCTCACATTAACAGAGTGGCTGTTTTCGAAACCATAACATTACCTTTTCTTATACTTTCATACTGATCGCACTGTTCTGTTAGGTTTTCTATGGTACACCCAACGTAGATCACGTGACTGGCTGTGGAAAAACATTGCTGAATCCTCTCTATTGTAGCCGTCTATTGACCTTCCCAATCAGAACAGGGCAAGGAATGTGCATGTGTAAAAAGCACACGTATTGTCTCACAAACACACAGGTTTGCGTATGTTTTTACACTATCGTTTTGTGAGACCTTGTCAACAATATCCAAGAGCAGATCCATTGACATTGTGATTGAATTTCCAGATCACAGATTTTGGCTTATTGCAGATTTTTATTTTTGAAATTTCTTGTAATTTTTCTTCGTTATATGATCCACGATCCTAATCATCTCATGTTCGTCCTGTCTCGTTTTCCCGCAGGTTGTGAAAACAGTTATTCCTGCTGGAGATGGTGTGTCCATCTCTTTTCCCATAATTCCCAAAAAATTAAAATTGATGGACATACGTGTGTCGGCACAGTCGTCAACCGTCAGAGATGTTATTATACAACAGCTTTTGGTTGAGGTACTGTAATTGAACATTTCAAATAATATTATTTTTTGCTTTTGTTATAATCTTTCATAAATTCTGCAGAAATTCCTGTAAATATTAAAACATTGAATAAGTCGTTTATAGTAGTGCATCCAGGATGTATTTTGTAGGGTGAGGGGAGGTGGTGGGGTGCTACCAAAACAACAATTTCAGTTGGATTGAATCAATAATATGAGTTTAGGTTATATTTAATGTGAATAAAAGTAAATTATAAACTAGAAGAAAATATATATAGAAATGAACTTTGTATAGTGAGTGTTTGTGTAATACAAATTTTAATCTTACGTTTTTTACTCAGTCTTGCTGTTTTAATACACTGGACATCCTTTACAAATTTATTTTTGCATCTATCGAAATGTTACGTTTTTAATTTGAAAATCTGTACAACAAAATTTCTTTGTATGTATTTACATGAGGACTAACACAACTTCTTGTATCTTGTAATATATTTTGTTGTGTATTTTGATAACTTCAACATATCATTTTTTGTTTTGACAAAAAAAATGTTGTTTTTTGCCAGCCTGAGGGTGTTATGAATTCCTACACTGATCCAGATCTCATCAATTTATCAGGCGACATTTTTAATAAATCATTCCCAATTGAACTTCCACCTGCGGGTCTTGTTGAGGGCTCTGTTCGTGTGGTACTCTCAGCAACAGGTGAGAAAAATGATATTCCTTACATTAGAAGTTCAATCTTCAAATCAATTTTATAAAGCCGAGAGAAGAGGACTAGTATTTACTTGGGGCCGTAAGAACTGTCTACTATGCAATTACATTTAATTACAAAATTGTTATAATCTTTGCAATCCTTTTCTGTATTTTAGTGTTATTTTTATTGATCTTTTGGTGTTTTTTTAGGTGACATAATGGGTCCAACTATGAGCGGGTTAGATAAGCTGTTGCGTTTGCCCTCAGGCTGTGGGGAGCAGAACATGTTAGGCTTCGCTCCAGATGTCTTCATCTATGATTACCTCAAGAACACAAACCAGAATAATCTTGAGATAAAGGAAAAGGCTCTCCGCTATATGAACATTGGTAAATTCACATCCGATTTTTCATTTATCACGTCAAAACTGCATAATGTATTTCTACATACCAAGGAGATTCAGGGATCTTGGGAAAGAGAGAAGTATGGTATTATAATATTATAACATGCCCCTTCTCAATTCTCCATCTTGATCAACTTGTACTGCATACAATTATTGATAGTTGTTTTTTGATGTATTAATTCATCAATTTTCAATATTCTTTTTAAGGAGTAAAAACTTCAAATTGAAACTTAAAATATGTAAAAATCAACAAAGCTATGGAAGGATTTTTCCCCATACCCTACTGGGCTCTAACCGAACCCATCCCCCAGAATAGTATGGCCCGAACTACACCATTGCATTAATTATGTCATTCTGAGCTAGTATGCACTATAACCAGCAAGTCTTGTTCACCACAAAGAGGGCAGTATGACAACCAGCTACAGCTCCACTGTTATTCATTTTTTCCAGGCTACCAAAGAGAGCTCACTTACCAGCACAAGGATGGTTCTTTCAGTGCCTTTGGTGACCGTGATCCCTCTGGCAGTACCTGGTTGACAGCCTTTGTGGTGAAATCATTTGTCCAGGCTCAGGAGTACATTTTTATTGATTACAAACTTGTAGAGAAAGCTGTTAATTGGTTACTGACGCAGCAGAATGAAGATGGATCATTCCGGGAACCAGGAAAGATCTGTAACCGAAATATGCAGGTTAGACAATAGCCTTGTTTACACGGCCATTTGCTATCAGTTACATAACACCGATGATCTTCAGTAGTGTGTTTACACAATAAAAACATTATCGCTTGTACCAGCAAGTCATGTGATTAAAACTGACCTGAAAAAAATGCGGCATTGCTGTTCATTTTAAAACCCTCTGTCAAAATTTTTTTTTAATGTATGTAATGGATGAAAACATAATTTTTTCAAATAATAATAATGGTATTCACGTTGTTTTATCAACAGCAACTTCCAGCGACGACTCACACAGGTCAAACAACAGCTAATTTGCATAAAGATCAGGCCGATGATCTATGTTAACACTGCTGTGATGCAGAGGTAACGGCATAGATCATCGCGGTTACTGATCCATTATGTGGAGTTACTAACTCCATTTAGACGGTCACCTAACACATATATCAACGGATAAACGCGATCATCACGGTGATCTCCGTGTAAACAAGGCTAATATCTGAAATGTCTTTGAAATTGATCTGAAATAAATTATTAATTTGTATTAATTATTTTTATGTTGTTAATGTAGATTTATATATACAGTAAGCCTATGTTTACATGAAATTAATGCAATTTCACAATAGACCAAGTTTTAATAAAAAATATACCATAAAACACAGGACAGTGATATTTTTGCGGCTCATGAACCATCTTTGGCTAGAAAACATCTTGTTTTTTTTACAGCCCAACACCGATCGTCTGTAAAAAGTAACATTAAAACTGAGAATAAAGTGATATAAAAGTAGTGCATGAAGCACACAGTAAACATTAAAGTTTTGGTGTGGCCCTCAGTGTTAAATCAAATACAAGAATAAAATTCTTTGATTCTCAAAATTAAACAAGATATATAAAAACAAACAGGATATTTGTAATATACACGTTTTTTTGTTTTTTTTTCATTTGATTTATTTTTTTTTTAAAGTTGGTATATTTTAAGTAATATTGTATTCTTTTAGGGAGGTGTATCTGGTCCAGTTACCCTTACAGCATATGTGTTGGTGGCCTTGCAAGAAGCAAAGCATGGAAATGGGTTCTCACAGGTACTGAAGTCTGATGTCATTTGTGTGATGTATGTGTGGGCACGATTACTGTATGTCATATTATATCATTTATTTGTCACATAAGCTTTGCTAAAAGTGGACAGAGCTAAAGTTGTTTTGCTCTGATGGGAAGCTCCAGACACACTCGGCTGATTGAGTAATCGATCTTTTTAGATCTACTGCCTCTATTTATACTGCCCTCATGAGGCTGATTGATTACTAGTTGATTGATTAATAGATCTTTTTTAGCTCTGCTGTCTCTAATATACTGCCCTCGTGAGGAGTTCTAGAAACACTTGGCTGATTGATTACTAGTTGATTGATTAATAGATCTTTTTTAGCTCTACTGCCTCTATTATACTGCCCTCGTAAGGAGCTCTCGAAACACTCGATTAATTAATAACATATCTTTTTTAGATCTACTGCCTCTATTATACTGCCCTCATGAGGCTGATTGATTAATAGATCTTTTTTAGCTCTACTGCCTCTATTATTACTGCCCTCATCGGAGCTTTCGAGATTACAACAACTTGTTCATTTATGATAAAGTATTTATTATAAAAGATAAATGTAGGAATAATCCATGACTCGCAGCTTCACTAAGTGCTGAATTGCACATGAAATGGGTATGGTAATTATACTAGTGATTTGTATATAAATAATGCTAGATATTTAGTTCCAAATTGTTCCAGCTTAATAATCACAGGTATAGTAAATGTATTTTTTCATTGCAGACTACTTTGAATTTACTCAACATTTCAGTTGATAGTGCGGCATCCTACATTAACTCACAGTTGTCCACCTTCGAATCTGACCCGTATGTAATGGCTATCACAACTTATGCCCTCACATTAAGCAAACATCCAAATAAAGACTTGTTCCTTGCTGAATTAGAGGAACTGGCAATCGTTGAAGGTAACAGTTTTTAGGTAGCTACACTCTCATTGACCCAGATGATTTTATTGTGTAAATGTTTACATATAGTTATATATATATAATTTTGGCCTTTTAAATCTTTTTAAAACTATTTCATGGTTTTATGTAGAAATACAGGCATATCATTTAGAATTGATGTCTCACTGAAGAAAAAAAAAATAATGAAATACCATAAAACCTTGAATAGAAGCCCTGGGTTTCTTTTTTTTTTTTTGTAAACATTGGATTGGCTTCTTTTCAAGATAGGATTCTTTTTTGGGGGCTGCCTTTAAAAAGTAAGAGAGGGGCTTCTTTTCAAAATGAATACTGTAAATTTTTGGGAATTATTATTATAAATCAAGAAATAAGGCCACTGTAATGTCAATCTGTTAGGTTGGTAGAACTATAAGTCTTCTTGGATACATACCTAAAATGGAGGGCAAGTTATGGGTTATTCTACTACCTTTACCTTTAGCTGTATCATGCAGTGTATTAACCATCATTAAATCATATAAACTGCTGTATAAACCAAGCATGTTTCTAATTTATTTTGTTTCTTTGAAATTAGAAGCCCATTCTACATCTTGAAAGGAAGCTCATGGGCTTCTTTTCGAGGCTATTTTGCAAACTAAAGAGGGGGCTTCAATTTGAGATGGGCTTCTTCTCGAGATTAAGCCCAATAGGCTTCTATTTAAGGTTTTACAGTATATAATTTTATTTGTTATTGCTTTTATAGTTGGTATGAAACATTGGAGCCGTCAAGAGGTAACTGTAGATGATGACCAAAGTTTGGGTTGGTTTCGACCTTATTATAAACCACCCTCTTCTGATATTGAAATGACAGCCTACGGACTTCTTGTTTATCTGGCTCGTGATGATGTATTGGCAGGGTCGTCTATTTCAAAATGGTTGACTAAACAACGAAGCGAACTTGGTGGATATTCTTCAACACAGGTATGATCCTTTTATGACCCTATTTTTAAATTATGATTTGGTTACAAGTTGAACTTAGCTAGAATAGTAGGGAGTGCAATTTTGACTTATGATTTATGTTAGTAACCATTTTCTGATACAGTAAGTTTGAACTACGACAACATTTTTCTTCATTAAATACTTAAATTGTATCTGTATATCCGTCATATAAATCTTAATTTAATTATTTTTTGTGTGCTCCTGAAGAATTGTTTGAATATCTATATTTTTGTCTGTACATTAATATTATTAATTTGTAAATGATTTCTACAGAAAGACAGTTGTAGTAAATAGCACAAATTTGCACTGAAATTTATAGAGTAGATTAAACAATGGAGTTTCTCACAATCATTAATTACTATTTCTTAAATCAGGATACTGTTGTAGCTCTGCAGGCTCTATCCTCCTATGCTAGTGAAATAAACGTGAACAGAGGGGAAATTACAATAGCTGTAACAGCAACAGAAGATCCCTCTTTCAAGCAGACTATAACTATCAACAGTGACAATGCTCTTGTTTTCCAACAATTGGAGGTAATTATATACTGTATAATATATGTTACATATTATACTCTATTCAGAATAGACTGATCGGTTGTGATATATTCGGTAGTAATCCAAAACAGAGGACTCCCTTTTGCAACCAACAAGCCCATTCAGATAAAATCAGACACAAAAAAATGTATTGGAACGGGTGGTCAAATGGTACTAGGCCTCCTGTGACTATGTTGACTGATCTTAGCTAATCAGTGCCTGTTAAATTTGTTGCGATTTTAATCTGTGGTAGACGAGAGTAATAATGGTAATGGTAATGGTAATGGTTGGAGACAATATATAGCGCATAATACATGGTCTCTATGCGCTCGGGACTAGATGTTGCACTTTACAATAACTTTCTCCTCCCCTAAGGGTCACTTCTTGTCTTCAGCAGCCAGTAAACCGGTGCACTTTCATCTGTCCACGACAGGGGCCAAATGAACCAATACACCGGGGTAACCCCCTACTCATCTCGAAAGATGTACTGGGTTCTTTAAAGTGCTGGTGTTATCTGGCAAAGTTAAGTGGTTGGATGGGAAAACTAGCGAGTGGAAATTATGTTGGCATTTTACACTCTTGCATGAATGCAAAAACGCTAACCCATCTCCCGCAAATTCATTATATTTATATGTTTTTACAGTTATATTATCAGTTTTCTCCGGGAAGTCAAATGATGATGGGCGCCGTAAAAGAAAGTTAAATGTGTTATTACTGCATAAGTGGCTTCTTCCACCCTACAGTAGGACCCCTGGGCCTTGCAAGAACACAAAAGAAGGTTATCTCTGGTTTGTTGCATCATGGTTTCATCACTATTGTATTTCCTTAGATGTTTTTCCAAAGAAACATTTTCCTTTTCTAGGTTCCTGTGACAACTGGCTCCATTAATGTATCAGTATCCGGCAGTGGTTCTGTTTTGGTACAGTTCACAGTTTCCTACAACGTGGAGGAGGTTGACCAGGTGCCAGCATTTGATGTCATGGTAACAGTGACCAACGATGACTTAAACAGCATCCAGGTCGAAGTTTGTGGGCAGTAAGTGTAAATGGTTTCTTCAACGTTGCGAGTAGTTCAAAATATTTAATTTGGCAAATGTTACTCTATAAACAGCAGAATTAAATTGACCTCAGGTTCCTTAGCAGTTGGACAGCAATTGTCAATAGTTAGTTTTAAATCAGTTTCCTTGGAACAGATTGCTTTTATATTATATCGATATTAAAAGTAACTTTGGTATTGCCAAACACTTCCTCTAGTGATGAATATAAGTCCTATATTTTTTCAGAAAAATTTATTGTCCTTATCAAGAATTGAACATACAAGGCCCTCCAGTTACCATTCGGATGTTCTACCAACTGAGTTGTGAAGGACAGGGACAGATCCAGAGATGTCCAAAAGGGGAGCGGGGGGACAATCAAGAGACAATCACCAGCCTAGGGGAAATTTTTTTTTTCTAGATGCCCAGAAGTAACCTCAGAGGAGTTTTGGGTGATCAATAATTTTGTTTTCTTCATGCTGCATTATCCTCACTTAGCAGTTTCAGTCCATATCACCCAGTTTTTAGCAAAAATTAGGGTAATCTCATGCTTCATGTAATCACTACCTACTTGGAAAGGTTCTGCTTGTTGAACTTGGTTTATTATACTAACCAAGGCCAGGGAATACCAAAATGCCAGCAGTTTGCACTATTCCGTACCATGACACCTCTGTATTGTGACACCTTATCAGGGCTAAGGCCTATTAAATGTCAAGTAAACTACTGTAATATGAGACAGCTCAATGACAGCTTTTTGGACCATTTTTTTCTAAAAGGAAGCTATGCCTCGTGTTACTTATTCTTTTTTACTTTCAAAAGGGGGATGGGGGTAGGTCCAGCCACGCCCCCCTCTAAATCTGCACCAGAAGCCTTATTTTGAAAACTCATAAACCAATGATCACGGGAGAACAAAGTCACAAAGAGATCTAGGGTCGTCTAGAAGGGAGTGTGGCTGGCCACTCCAACATGAAAAATAATTTGGTAATGTATTGTCAATGGTGCAATCCGTAATAATGTTTTACCCAATATCTTACTAAATACTCATAGCTGTCTGTAAACGTGGGTTGCGCCTAAACACGATTTTTAATTCTGTTGCTTGTGCTGTCATATTTCTTCCTATTTGATTGATTGCAAATTATTAGTTTTAGAAAACAAGGCCTCCTAACAGATAACATATACTTGTGGGCTGAGAATGGTCCGTGGACTGCCCTTGGAGAACCCTTGCCAAAACAAAGCAACTTACGCCTGATGGCCTGAAAATGGTCCGAGGACCGCCCTTGGAGAACCCTTGCCAAAACAAAGCAAATTACGCCTGATGGCCTGAAAATGGTCCGAGGACCGCCCTTGGAGAACCCTTGCCATAAACAAAGCAACTTATGCCCGATGGGCTGAAAATGGTCCGAGGACCGCCCTTGGAAGACCCCATAAACAAAGCAACTTATGCCTGATTAGCAGTATTCCAAACAATGAAACATTACCAATACAATCCTGGAGCCATCTTAGCATCCTGCCCAGACAACATCAGTACTTTGTTTACAACCGTTTGTTAATGTGTTTCATGGTTTTTCAAAAGGGGCGTATATAATATCATGTTGCATTCTTTTTCTAGTGTTAGGGAGTTACAGTCAAGCAAAATCTTAATATTTGCTCTCATTTTCATTAGGTATCTGAGGCAGGAGGAAAGTGGAATGTCAATCATTGAAGTTGGTATACCATCAGGATTTGATGTGAACGAGGATAAATTGAAAGAGGAGCTCTTAAATGTTGGTCCTCTGCAACAGTACGAGTTGCAAGCAAGACATGTCAACCTCTATCTTGACCAGGTAACAGCATTTTTTTATTTGTTTATTTATGTAACAGCTTCTTCTAAGATACGAAGTGCTTCTGTCCCTTGTCATTGGGTCCACATGCGTAAGTGTTGCTGCTATAATCAGCGCAGGAGTGGTCAACCTCACCAGATACACATTTTGGACACAAGAAAAGTTTTAAAACCCTGACCACAAGCTTTGGGTTTCTTGTAATTGTAAGGTGCTATTATAACTAAAATTAATTTTACATTTTCAAATCCTATTTTAAATATTTTCCCCATAATATTTTTACTAATAGATCATATCAGGACAAGAATTTTGGGTGGAATATATTCTTGGCCTTACCTTTAATATATAACTTGCCAATTACCTGGCTGAAAGCCACTAAGGTATATGATACTAAAGGGGAAATAAAAAAAAAATCATAAGTAAAAATAGGGGATGAAACTGAATGCCCTAACAAAGCATTGTATCACATTCAAAAACCTTCAAAATGCATTTGGACATTTTCAGAATGTCAATTGAATTTTCAACTCGCCAATCAGAACGCTACTCACTTGTCACACACAATCCCACATGTTATCCCACAAATGCATGTGTGTGCCTAGATTTACACTGTCATTTTGTGGGAACTTTGCAACAATATCCTAGGGACAAGCTTAGCAGAAAGGTTTATTGGGTAAACTTGATGCTTATTTGCCTTCCACTGGACACTGGAGATTGTTTGTACATTTAATAGGGAAACAGTCATTGGGAAAGGATTCGTGGCTTTGGGAGAACATGTCTTTGAAGTTGGTTCACTTACTGTAAAGGTAAAGATAGGCCCAGCAGGCCTCGAATTTGGGGATTTTATGGGCAAGGCCAAATGGCCTCCGGTATGACATGATTTTGAAAGGCACCAAGGCCAAATGGAAAGGCACTAGGCTAAAATTTCAAATATAAAAGGGCACAAAGGCAAAATTTGATTTGATCGAGTGCCTTGATTCATAGCCAAGCTACCAAGCTAGGCGTAGCCAAGCTAGGCCTACCCAAGCCATCGTTGTCAATTGTAAAATGACTTTGTTTAGAGTATTAATTAATTATCGATTCAATGTTGGAATATACTTTTAGTTTTTATGTGGGCGGTCGGTTATTGTAAACAAAACAGTCAAAAAGTTCAAGAAGTTCAATCATGCTGTTGTTGCTCAGTACGTCGTCATCGGAGAGGAGGCCACACCTCTAAACTGGCAGTCATCATTAGTCGAGTGTCAACCAATTAGGTTAATTTCACACGCTTGAGTTGCGATGACGTCAGATCGCCCAAAGCTAGCTGCACAGCAAGCACATGTTTACGTTCTCGAACGTACTGAATCAGACGCATGCACACACAACGGTAATCGCAAAAACAGTTTGTATCAACACACGTACGGCAATTCTCACAAGTTCTGTCACTGCAACCTTATCTAGGCCTAGGCTAGCCTAGGCGACCTACATTTTTGGCTTTCATGTTTTCTTTCAAGAGTTGAATGTTCTTATTTAGTTGTATTTTATGTGTCAAACGATCTATATTAAGCGTCGTGAGGGCACCGAGGCCAAGGCAGCAAAAGGGCAGGCAAGTAGTGGCCATCGTCGTGCTTCATTTTCAGGAGCATCAAGGCCAACTCGGAAGGCACTGACGGCAATGACCGCGGTGGCCGCCTAATAATTTGAGGCCTGGCACAGTCTATATGAAAGTCAATTTATTGAATGCTAATGTAGATTAAATCAACGTCAACATACAAACATTTAACCACAGTGTTTACTTTATTGTCCAAAATATCACTATCATTAACTATACCAAAACATTTAGAAAACTGTAGTGTCGGATACCTATACCCACTGTAACAAAAAATAATAGTATTCAATATTAATATGGCACAACGAAGCAAGAGTTAAAACCAAGATGTAAAACTTTATTTTAAAACTATATTCATTCATTCATTCATTCAAGGTATTTTATTCAAAAATAATTGTAATTGCAATATGAAAGACTGAATTGTAACAATTTTACAGATTCTAAAAAAGAGACATTATAAAAGGCAAGAGAAAACTTGGAACAGACATTAAAACCATCAGGCTCTTAAAATTTTAAAAATATTTTAAAAATCAATACACGACAGCAAATACATAAACTGATGAGACATGCAAAATGGTGATAATATTTGATGCAGATCTTGTACATCTAAAACAATCAGTCACCAAAGTTGAAAGAAATAATATGGGAATAATTGCAGCTAAAATGCTAAAGTATTTTACAGGGGGAAAATACATCCTCCAACTCTATTTAAAATTAAAACACAGCTTGTAAGAAAATTGACATACATGAAGAAATAAAACAAAAATTCGTATTTGAATTAACTGTACAAATTTAAAGAAGTATCTATTTTAGGAGTCATTGGTATCTGCTGGATTAATAGATTATGAATTGGTACTGCATAATATCAAGTTACCTTTTGGGAGCTTACTTATTTTTCGAAGACACAAAAAGCATGTTTGACAAATGAGATACAGATTTTTGAATATTTAAAAGCTTGTTGGGAAAGGGCATAACCACCCTTTTTATACCTTTATTTCCCAGTTTAAATATTAAAATATATATATCTCAATTACATACAGACAGTCCTTTTTAACTGCTATAGAAAGAATTCCTGGAAGATGATGCTGTAAATGGCTATGGATCAGATGAAAAGGCCTGATTCTCCAAGCCCAATGCATTAATCTCCTTACAATCCACATCAACTATAGATGTTACATTGATGTCATTTTCACTTGGCTGTTGTTTCACATTATTTGATTCCGAATCCTGGTCCAGTGAACTGTGCAAATCAACCACCTCGGATACACCACCGATGGCAGATGTATCATTGATGTCAATTTTTTGGCTGTTCTTGACCCTAGCCCGATGAACTTTGCATTTCAACCGCCTCGGCTGCACCATTGAGGGCAGGTGCATCATTGATGTCATTTTCATTATTAGGCTGCTGTTCCCCATTATTTGTTTTGGGTAACTTATTTACTGGGTTTTTTTCCGATTTTAATTTTGATCTTAAAAGACAGCATTGCAGAGCTATAACCAGTAAATTTTTAGCAGTAAAGAAAAGAATTCCCTGCGAAATGACTTTGTACTTTATGATTAGGTATAGCCTCGCGACACAAAATGGAACGTCTTGCATTATTAGTATCACCATGGTTGCCCTCACATCTGTACTAGAGCAGACATGTTGTGGGCACCTCGACAAAATTCCGCCTGTTGTATGATGAGCCTCAGCCTCTTATTTCTGCTGTTAGATTAAGTGGGAACTGCATTAGACTCCATGACCACAAGATTAAGATCATTGCTATAAGACCATTAGAACAGCCAACAATATCTATACCGATTCCCTCACAAATAAACTCCAAGATATCAGCAGCCATTCCAATATTGACCAATAGAAGTTCATAAAGCTGATCAAGTGTTAAGTCCCCTTGCGGCAGAAGCCATCTTCCAATGACGAGAAAAAATATAAAAAGCTCCTGCAAAGCTAAGAACCATTCCTGGTCATCTAAATATTTAGGCGAAATAGGTATCTGGGGAAAAAGATGGCAAAAGATACATAATTGTGTTCTGTGACATAATCCAGATGAGAAAAAAAATCAAAACAAGTCAGTTCCACTTTCCTCCACTTCACTTTTTGCACTTCATCTAAATTAAATGATTGCTGGATTTTCTTAGCAGTAGCAGAAAAAAAAATAAACATTGTTAGTGAAAATTTGGAGTGGGGTGTGAATGTGGGGACCATTTAAAGGGAAACAACCCACACTTGATATTCCAAAACCTGATCATCTGATCTGAATGTAACTTTCTGGAAGAGTTAACCAATTACAAGGAAGAAATTATTAACATTGGGAAATGTCCTAGACCAGATATCCCAAAAACTGATGATCAACTGATCTGAATGAAACTTTTGGAAATTTTAACCAAGTTACAAGAAAGAAATTTTTTTAAAATTTAGGTGACTATCCAGATTTTGGTTTGAATTTGGGTCATTAAAAGTGCAAGAAAAAATATCTAAAAAATTACAATTGGTTGGTCCAATAAAAAATGATTAAATTTTAGAGACAGTCAGGAGTAGGGTGTGGACATGAGGACCATTCAAAGGGAAATGTTCCAGACCAGATATTCCAAAAAAACTGATGAAACCTTTTGAAAAATTTACAAAGGAAAATTAAAAAAGAAAATTATTAACTTTTGGTGACGATCCAGATTCAGGAATGGATTTGTGGGTCATTTAGAATTCTACCATCCCAGACCTAAAAGGAATAATAATTTAGGTGACAGAGTAGGGTGTGGATGTTGGGACTCTTAAAGTGGAACATCCCACACCTAAATATTTCAGATGTGGGAATTTTATTCAGTGAAGAATTATGATGTGGGTGAAGATATACACTCTTGGAGATTTTTATTTTATAGTGGTTTAAAAGTACCTTGAGACATTTCTTTTATTGTGGAATGCACTTATAAATGTGTAGGACCTAACATCACCAATATGAAACTTCTGAGTGAAATACTTGCGTATCCCAAAGGAATAGAACTTTTACCGTAAATTACGTCACTTCCACATTCAACGTTATTTTTTTCTGTGTAATTCAATCTCTGGAAATATAGGTTAAATTCCAAGAGCCAAGTACAAGCAATTACTGTGATTATGTAGATTAGAATGCAAGGTGAAAATCTGTAATAAATGCAGATAAAAGTTTCTGATATGGAATGCATTAGTGACATTTCTAATAAGACAGTCTTAAAAAAAACAGAACAAATAAAGATGATACCCACTATACAGTGATATTTTTTTAACGAGTCAGGCTTATTTCTGCTATCAAATTAAAAATTTTCAGATTTATAAGCTCATTCTTGCCTTATATGCTTGTGAACTGTGCTGTAAAACATTTGTAAGGTAATTTTTTCATTTGAACATTCCTTATTTAAGTGTATGTAACGTAATGTAGGTAGATTGTTATAGCACTTTATACCAGGGGCGTAGCTAGAAGTTTTGTTGCCCAGGGCAAGAGTAGAAAATCCCCCCCCCCCACAAATTATAATTATAATACTGTCAAATAAATTGATATTGATTGTATAGGCTTTAAGTATGTACGTACCATACGTCCATACCATGCACTGTAAACATTATTTAAACCCGAATAACTATTATTATGATAGTAGGTTCTTTCTTACTACTGAAACTGCATTTCGATTTTTCGCAACTTTGTATACAACTTTACCATTATCCTAAGTTGTGTAAGGCTGTTGCACTTATTGCATACAGTTTAGTATTCTTATTCTCTAAATTTATCTAATACCGGTAGTAGAGTCTTGTAAGTTGCTGATTGTAACATTGTTTAAACTCTCAACTGCATTTTGCGTGCTTTTGCATCAGCAAATATTAGTTAATAACATGATCAAAGTTAATGTTGTCTGCTTCATTGTGCTCAAAAGGAGTGCCAAAGAAAGCAGATAGTCTCACTTGTCCCATCGTGGCTCTGAGATATGGTAGTATGAGATTGAGCTTGCTGAAAATATTTCCACCTTTCGAAACCTACCTTGGAACTGTATACTGAAATACCCGAAATTTCCGTGACATGTTGTTATTACAGAGCAGGATAAAAAAAATAGAAAACAATTGAACTGGATTGAAAAGAAATCACAATCTATAAATTTGCCAATAAAAACAACTACATTCAGATTCTTATTATTAACTGGAAAATATTCTTGCCTGATGACATACATCAATTTCATCATGTTTTTCTAAAAAAGTGCTTTATTGGTGATAAGCTTCACGAGTGGATCACCAATTATTGTGAGGTTCAACATCATCATCTGCTTTCTTATTCTTCTTTCTTTCTCCCCCATTTCTGTTAACATGATTTCTCAAAATTGCCAAGAGCTATAGCATGAACGCTTCATCTTGGCCTGGAATAGATACAATAAAGTATTCAATGTGTCAGTCATGCGTGACGTCATCTATGCGTACGAGGGCGTCAAATTTTAAATGTGCTTAAAGTCATATCTATTTTTAATCAGTTTTTTCTACGCCCCCTCATATTTTGGATGCAGTGAAGCACATTGAAATGTATAGGGCTATATAAAGTATATTTATTAAGGTATCGCCTGGTAAAAATAAACACGAAACAATTGAATCAACCAAGCAAGTATCACAGACTGAAATGTCTTTAGAAAGTCATTCAAAATTACCTTTTTGTTGTACACTTGAAAATAAGAGTGATAGAATAACCTGTTAGGTACAGTAATATTGGTTATTATAAAGAAATCCAAGCGAGGACAGTCACATTACTATGGTTGGAAATATATCTAACGTACAGTATACCACAGATTTAGTACCTGCTCTTTTGCTTACACTAACAAAATGCATACTAGGCTGTCACCCATGAGGTATTATAGTCAGTGGTGTACGTATCTAGGGGAAGGCGCACGCCCCCTCCAAAAGTGACTTGTGCTCCTCCAGTCGCCAAGAATCACTTGCAAGTTAGTAGTTAAAATCACCTTATCACCCTCAAATGAACACCGAGCCCCCCCCCCACTTCACTTTCGCCAGCCCCCCCACCCATCAGCACCCCCATTTCAAGGCTTCTAGTATGTGTCAATTAATGCCAGCAGCAAACATAAACTATCTTTATTTTTTTAAAGCATAACCAAAATACCAAGAATTTTTAAATTTTTTTTTTAAAGGAGCATATATAGGGGCTAAAAAAATGAATATGCTCCCCCAGTTTTATGCTACAAATCTTTGTATTTTTGTTGTTGTCGTCGCCAATATGTCTACTTTTTGGCAATGACTTAGTAGGCCTAGATGTTTTTTTTTATTTACATTTAAATATTTGTAATGATTATGACGCTTTTATGCTATTATTAATGTTCTCATTGACATCACAGAGCCACTAGACAGTGATTTAGTTTTGGTGGGGATGGGGCATGCCGGCTGTAAATGTCTAGATTTTATATGAAAAGTTTTTATTCACCGAGCCCAATTCATTAATCTTCATGGAATCGTCAGTGACTCTAGCAGCAACATTGATCTCGCTTTTATTTGGCTGTTGTTTCGCATTATCCGATTCCGGATCCCGGTCAGATAAATCTTGCTTTGCCTTGGATAACTCATTTTCTGTTTCACTTTTATTGTACAAAAATATTAAACGATAGATTTGCACAACTATAACCAGTAAATTCTTTGCAGTGAAAAAGAGCATCCCCTGCGAAATGGCATCAAACTCTATGATTAGGTATAGCCTTACGATAACAAATGGACCATCTTGCATTATCAGTGTCACCATCGTTGCCCACACGTCTGTACTGCAGCAGACACAGTGCGGGCACTTGGTCCACCTCGACAAAATTCCGACGTCTGTTGTATCATAAGCCAGAGCCACTTTTTCTCTTTCCGCTGTCAGACTGAGTGTAAACTGCATTAGACTAAATGACCAAAAGAATAATATCATTGTTATAAGACCACTAGAACAACCAACAACATTTATATTGATTCCCTCTATAATGAACTCCAGAATGTCAGCGGCCATTCCAATATTGACCAATAGAAGTTCATAAAGCTGATCACGTGTTATGCCCCCTTGCGGAAGAAGCCATCTTCCAATAACGAGAATGAATAAGAAAACCTGCTGCAATGCTAAGGACCATTCCTGGTCATCCAAATATATTGGCGAAATAGGTATCTGAGTAAGAAAAACAGAAAAAGTTAATTCAAAATTTTAGCCATTTTAATACTATATACACTGACCATTTTAAATTTATACAATCTACTCCTGTACTAATAGTTTTAAATTTCACGTTTCAAATAACTTTCCAAGAGTATGGGATAAACTTCCTATTGATGTCTGGAACAAACTTGTTAGAACATTTTAACATTTGTTTTATGCTACAAATCTTTGTATTTTTTTGTTGTCGTTGCCGTCGCCATTTGGTCTACCTTTTTACGGCAATGACTTAGTAGATGTTTTTTTTAAACTTACATTTATATATTTGTAATGATTATGATGCTATTATGCTAATTAATGTTCTAATTGGCGTCACAGAGCCGCTAGACAGTGATTTATTATTTTTCCTCTCTATCTGTCATTATGTTTTTGTCTGTTTTATTGTTCTTCGGACCAAATAAATGAAATGATTGTATTTTGTGATATAATCTAGAAGTAAAAAAAATCAATACAAATCAGTGCCACGTTCCTTGTTTTCGCACTTGTTCACCTAATTATTATATTTGTAATACTTTTAGTGGTTAAGTGAGCGTCTTGAGATAATTTTTGTGGGTATTGAAGACACTGTAAATGTGCAGGACCACACCGCCATGACCAATATGAAACTTCTGGGTGAAACACTTACGTATCCCAAAGGAATTGATGTGTTACGGTACATTACGTCAGTCGTTCCGCAATCAATGTTATGTTTTTCTGCATAATCCAGTCGCTGGAAATATAGGTTAAATTCCAAGATCCAAGTGCAAATAATAACTGTTGTTATGTAGATTAGAATACAGGGTGAAAATCTGTAATAAATGCAGAGATAGAACTATAATATTATTATTGAAATCAATGGAATTGTTTTAACATTTTGAATACTGTAGTAACATCACGATTCCACACACAATGTGAGTATTGTAAAATGTGTTCAAATCAGTTGAACTTTTATTCGTTGGCGGAGCCAGCAAGTTGAACGGTCACCCACTAAAAAATTAAATTCATTGATTACATTATCAAGAGATACTCTGTTGATCAATCAGATGAGAGTCAATATGTCAATCTACCCAGAGCTGTATTGGTTTTTGTGTAAACTCATATTTACCATGGCCAGGGAAAAAAAAGAAAAAAGTCCGTCTCCAATTTTAGAGGATTTGAATGATTTATAAAAATTGATACTTACACTTGCCATTCAAACTTTTTCATAGCAAGTAGAAGAGTGGCAATGGCTTCGATGCTCAACAAAATACACAGCAATGTAAGCAACCAAAATAAATCCTCACCAGTGACCTCTACGACCCGCCAAATACACAGCATAGCATGGGTCACAAAGAATGCTCGAGCAACGCCAAAAAATATAATTGTTCTTGACACCAAAGGCATACTTAGGAGTGTTTGAGTGAAGTATATTTGACAGACTGCTGCTAGACCTATTTTTTGCTGGCCGAGCTGTTTCAGGCTCAGAATGTGTTTAAATTATACTTATATCTGTGATATATACTCACTGTCTGTTGAATTCTCAGTTAAGCACATTGGAAATTGAGAAATATATTTACATAATCGCATCATCTGACAATACAAAAAAAAAATTAAACAATGCAGATGAACCGGATATATCACGTCGGATTGCTGTCTTCAGGAATAATTAATCAAAGTCATCTTTCGCTGTACATCTTTAAACTGAGTGTGGTAGAGTGAACCTGTTACAGGAACAGGAACAGGATAATAATTTATTCTAAAAAAAAAATCAAGGTCGGTCACATTGTTATTGTTGGAATATATCTAGCATGCCTCAGTGGGTACCTACTCTTGTGCTTACACATGTAACAAAAAGACGTTGTTGCATAGTTTAATGTCAACAGGAAACACAATCAATCTTTATATTTTTTAAGCATTACCAAAATGTCAATATTTGCTTTGGAAGTGTCCGTTTATTCAGGAGAATTATTACTGGTAGGCTTAGCATCCATTGTTGAAGAACGAATCAGAATGATGTAATTTTTACTATTAACATAAAGAGAATATTTATGGTAATAACTTGTAAAAAGCATCACAAAATCGTCTCTGCCCTGAGAAACCACTGCCAAAGTGAAAAAAAAATAATAACTTAAATAAATAGGAAAGATGGGAATTTATCCGAGAAGACAGTCAAATTATTCAATTTTAATTCAACTTTATTCAGTAATACCTGTATCATCTTTGTTGTAGCCTTTCTGCTAAATTGTGATATATACACAATGCCATATATCAATATACAATAACATAATATTTACAGTTAATATGTACATTAAAATTAAGCTGAAATAATAATTGAAACAACTTCACATGTTTGTGATTGTGTTAATGAACATTATAACCCAGGGGTGGTTCCACTGGAAACAGGGACTAGCCTGGGCAGAAAGAGGGGATCATGACTCCAAAACAAGCTACTATATTTTCGATTCAAATTCCATGATCTAATAATTTCCAGTATCTATGATCAAGCATTTCTAAACAAGATTTTAAGCACCCAACCCTCTAACCCCTGATTGATGCTTCTTGCAAGGCTCCTATACATTTTTCCCTGTGGAATCGCCCCTGTAACCAGCTAAACGCTGGTACATTATAATTTTTTGTTTATTATATTGGAGAAGTAAGAATAGCTAGTACCATGCTGCATTTATTCGAATATACGCCCCCTCGAATCACCGCCCCCTCTAGAGCCTCGTTTGGTATAAACACATCCCTCACATATATCATTTTCTCAAATAAACTTCCCCCCCCCCCCCCCCCTTACTTGATTGATTGTAAACAAATCTAATGGAAGCAACATCATTATCAACACCTTCTATTAATGTTCTATTCCAGTGGAATTAACATTTTTTCTAATCTTGATGGGATCTAGAAGTCTTAATGATAACTCAATAACACATTTTGACTGTAATTATGTATTGCAGTTCCACATTTACAGTGAAATTTGAGATATGTATCCATTTTACACCAAAAAAAAATATAAAGACCTTCCTCGAATAAACTCGCCTTCAAAAACCCTTTTCAACAATATCGATTCAAATTAATATGGTAAGTGATTTTTTAGGGAGCAATATTAAAGCTGACTTTGGAACTGGACGCGTGTATTATTGTATGAAAGGCAATTAATGAAATGAAGTTAAATATTGTAGTTCTGCTGACTATTGAACCTCCAGCTTTATGTTCTTATCTAAGATGAGTTGGTTCTATTAATCGAACCCTGGGCAAAGAGTAATTGTGATGTTAAGGCAGTAGTTATAATTGCGGTAGTTCGACTTGCCCGTGTACCATATAGGCTGCAATAGCATCGTACTAAATAGCTTGTATTCTTTTGAGATAAGATTATTGTCCTTGTCAATACAAAACAGACAAATGCATCTTATGATCAAGCATATCTTTATTTATAGGAAAATATAATTCTTTATCTTTAATATTTACAGTTATATGGGATTTTTTTATTATCCTATAATAATAATATATTTATGTAATATATAAAATATAAAAATATAAAATATAAAAATGGCGGCCATTTTGGACGCCATCTTGGAATTTGCGGAAAGCTCCAGTAGGATTTTTCAGCACTTTTAGTAAGTTATTCTACTCATAATTTTGGACCTATCCTGAAAAATTTAACTTATGAGAAATTTCCAGGTTAACTAGAAGTAACATTGATGCCGTTTTCATTTATGCCTTTGGTCCCCGTCAGATGATCTTTGCAGTTCATCCACATCCTTGGAAGACTCACATGTAGGTTTCATTGATGTCACTCTCATTTTTCTGTTGTTTCACATTATTTGATTCAGGATCCTGGTCCAATGAACTTTGCAAATCAACTGCTTTGGATGCGCAATTGACGGTAGATGTATCATTGATGTCACTTTTACTTGGCTTTTGTTTCATATTATTTGATTCAGGATCCTGGTCCAATGAACTTTGCAAATCGGCCACCCCGAATGCGCCATCGATGGTAGATGTAGCGTTGATGCCATTTTCATTAGACTGTTGTTTCATATTATTTGATTCTGGATCCTCATCTGATGAACTTTGCTTTTCCTTGGATGCTGTTACACTTTTATGGTAAAGACATATTAAATGATAGATTTGCAAAGCTATAACCAATACATTTTTAGCAGTGAAGAAGACCACCCCCTGTGAAATGTTCTGGAACTTTATGATTAAATATAACCTCATGATAGGAAAAGACCCGTCTTGCATTATTAGTGCCAATACAGTTGCACACACATCCGTATTTCTGTAGGTATATTGCGTACACTTTTTCCACATTGACAACATTCCAACATCTGTTGTTTCAAGAACCTGGGCCTCTTCTTCTTTTTCCATTGTTAAATTAATTGGGAACTGCATTAGACTCATTGACCAAATGAATAAGATCATCGTCATAAGAATTTTGGAACAACCAATCATTTCTATATCCATTCCCTCACTAAAGAACTCCAGGATGTTAGCGGCCATACCAATATTGACCAATAGTAGTTGAAGCCATCGTCCAATAATGAGAATGAACAGGAAAACCTGTTGCAAGGTTAAAGACCATTCCTGATCATCAAAATTTATAGGCGCAACAGGGAGCTGAGAAAAAAATACCAAAAAATTATATATGATTTTCTGTGATAAAATCTAGATCAAAACAAAATTAATAAAAGACAAAATCAAGTCAGTGTTCAATGATTTACAACACATTTTAATATTTAAAATCCTTTAATTGATTACCAGCCAGTAAATTAGTCAGTCAGTCAGTACCTCACTCAGACTACCAATGTTACTGCTGAATTTTGTAATATACAATATTTTAAAGGAATTCGATTTTTCTTTTGCCAGACAAACAATATATCATTGAAACAACCATTCACTTACTGCTTTAAAAATAATAATAATAATAATAAATAAATATACATATTCATTTTTCAATTTAAATAACCAGTCAACCATGGCTGATAAAGTTCAGGTGAAATACTTACAAATTCCAAAGAGATGGTTGTGTTTTTGGAAGTTATGCCTTTCCCACAAGTGACATTATTTATTTCTGCATACTCCACTCGTTTGAAATATAGGTTAAATTCCAAGAGCCAAATACAAGTAATAACTGTTATCACGTAGATGAAAATACAGGGTGAAAATCTGTAAGATATACATAGATATACAGTACAGGATTCTGAAGTCATTAAAATCAATGAAAATTTTGTGATATTTTCTTTAATACTGAAGTTCATTCACTTCTACGTAGCAAGTATTGCAAAAGTGTGTTAATGAAACTCCTTTCAGTGGCTGATCAAGTGACTAAAAGATTCATACGTTTTATTTGAGACATTTAAGCGATTTTCTGTGCAAAATAATGCCCATTTGCAAGCTAACACTTTTTTTCGGAAAAAAGTAAGGGATTTTTCCTGGTGTGTCCAATCACCACCAGAAGGACCCCAATGGAGATTTGTGTTTGGGCTTTCGTGGGTTATGGGATTGGCCATATAAGTTCTGCCTACTTCAGCCAAATGAATTTTTAGCGTCTATTTCGTGAATAACTTAACTGAATGAAACGCTATATGCCAGTTTTATGGAGGAGGAACTTATCTCGAAAATAGTGAAATCGTCCATGCCCATGACATCGTTGCAATTCGGCTTGGGTCGAACGATTCCCTTATTTTCGAGGTAAGTTCCTGAAAGGAAACTTGCATTTATCGGTTTACCCAGGTTAAGTATCTCACTCATAGACTAACAACATTACTGTTGATTTGTTTAATTAACTATGCTTTTTTCCTAAGTTCTTCATGTTGTCGTCTTTGTTGGTAATTTGTTTGTTACTACGATAACTAAAGTTTGGTAAGTCCGATTGGTTTTCAAACTTGGCAGAATGCAAGATGGTAATGAGAAGACGGAGCCTATTGTTTTTGGCATGTGTGTATGAATATGCTAATGGTTCATTTTCATAATTAATATTTCACTAATCAGGTAATTTAGGCTAGTTACCACAGTAACTAAAGTTTGGTAAGTCTGATTGGATTCAAACTTTCCACAATGCAAGATGGTAATAAGAACACGGAGTCTATTGTTTTTTGGTACTTGTGTGAATATTCTGATTTTTCATTTGCATAATTAATATTTCACTAAGCAGGTACTTTAGGCTAGTTAAAATGGTAACTAAAGTTTAGAAAGTCCGATTTGTTTCACTAATCAGGAAATTTATGCTAAATACCCCTCCAATAAAAATTGGATGAAGTAATATTTTTAGCCTTGTCCATAAATCATTTTATTTTAGATTTCACTTTTTTTAGAACATGCACAGCGCCACTGATAACTACACCATTGTCGATTAAATGACACTATATTAAAATTCTAATATAGCGTAATAATTAATGCATATTATTGGTGGAAAGTGTACCAAACTAACCAAACTCTAGATTCAATATAACAACTTTGGCCCATGTGCATTCAATTTAGCATAACATCACCAAATGTTATGCAAGTGGGCAGGACAGGAGATGGAAGGTCGAAAAGAATGATTCATTATTTTTAGATTGGCCTTCCTCTTCCATTAAGTTGTCACTTTCATCTTGTTAAAGATTCAGCAACTGTGTTTGCCACCTTGAAACAATGTTGGTAAATTTAAACAAACGATTTTATAAAACAGATAGGCCTACTTACAATTCCCATTGAAACTTTTTCTTGTCAAGTACAACTGTGACAACGCCTTCGATGATCAACAAAACGTTTAGCAATATAAGCAACCAATATAAGTTATCACCAGTGAGTTCTACGACCCGCCAAACACACAGAATAGCATGGGTTAAAAACAACGCTCGAGCCACGGCTAACAATATAATGTGTCTTGTCACCATAGACATTTTAAAGAGGGTTTGGATGAAGTTATATATATATATCAGATATTTGCTGGTAGAAGAGCTATTTCGTGCTCAAAAAGAAGTGTTTCTTATAAGCACCTGAATCTAGTTCAACTGCTGAAACGTGTGTAAAAATAAGACCATTAGCCTGTGTGTAAATATACCTGATGCATTGAAGCACATCTACGAAATGTATTTTTAAATTATATTTCTAAGAACTACATAGGCGTTCCGCCTGACATTACAGAAGGGTTAAATAAACAATACAATTGAACCAATTATATGTCAGAATGCTAATCTCTTAAACATGACGAAATTCTTCCCCTTAGGCTATGTTCACACACACGTATGGCTTACGCCAGGCGTAAGCTAATCCACGGATTAAAATTCCAAAGTGTTCACACAAACGGCGTTCGTTACACTAGCAGTAATATTGGTCAGATTCTGGTGTGGAATAGTTTTCAATTTTAAATACGTGTTAACAGTAGTAAAATTAACAGTGCATCATGAAAACTTTTAAATCTGTGATTTTAGGCCTATATAATTATTGTATTTTAAATGAACAATTTTACTTTTGATTTTTCAGCTAGCATTGTTGATGTTGTATGTTTTAATAGACAGTCTAAATGGTTAAAATATCTTACAAAACACAATCAATAATCATATACATTATAACTAAGTAAAATGCAATAGAAAAGGAACCCCTTTACCATTACATTTATAGAGAGCACAGAAAAGAGACCAAAATAGCTAATATATTGCAATCGTGATTGGTCAATCTCTTGAGGTCAAATCATTCAAGCATCACTGGCGTTAGCTCAGTGGCGTTAGCTAATCTGGGGTCTGCAGGTAGCGTTAATAACGCCAGGGACGTGGCGTAGTGAGTGGCTTTAACAACGCCACTGCCTAGTTCACACACAAAGGCGTACGCTACGCCAGGCTTACGCCGTGTGTGTGAACATAGCCTTAGAAGAAACGGTCACTGGTGGGTTGGATGATTGATTGCTAATTGCCTGCATGCTGCCTAAACGGCCTTCACAATGAGTAAACAAGACATTGGTAGTAGGAGAAAATCGGACATAAGTTCAGCCAGTAGGGATATGACCGGTTGAGCCGCCGGTCATTTCTATGGAACGCCAAGCGCGTCTCAGTGAATATAGTGCGTCTCTCAGTGAATGTAGTCGGCTTGCCGATGTCATCAGTGAATGAACCCCCCAGATAGCAGCTACATATTCATCCCACAGTCTTGTCAGTCTTTGATTTGCTCGTATTGCCGTTCGTGATGTATAATTGTGTAATTGAAAATTAGAATTTTGATATTTTTATGTACTACATTTTTATAAAAATATATGAAGTTGTATAATTGCAAAATCGTATTAATAAATGTAATTTTATGTACTACATTTTTATAAAATTAAATGAGTTGTATAATTGCAAAATCGTATTAAAAATGTGTTTATTTACGTTTGGTTTGCGGCGTATTTCAATTAACTTATTCGTTATTTGTACTATTTTGTTAAATTATTTAATTAAATTATTTATTATATATAAGTTTAACAAATAGTACAAAAATTAAAATATATAAATTATAAAACCATAGTAAATACTGTATAATAACATAGGCCTAACACATTTAAATTTATTCTTTATAGTCATGCAAAATCGTATTAAAAATGTAATAACTTGATTTTTTACGTTTGGTTTGCAGCGTATTTCAATTAACTTATTCGTTATTTGTACTATTTTGTTAAATTATTTAATTAAATTATATTATAATTTATTATATTATATATAATAAGTGATAAGGATGTATGGAGTTTTTTTTTTTACTATCTGGCAAGCCGACTGAATTAGACAGTTGACTATAAACAATACATTTAAATGTGTGAGGCCTATGTTATTATACAGTATTTACTATTGTTTTGTAATTTATATATTTTTATTTTTGTACTATTTGTTAAACTTCTATATAATAAATGATAAGAATGTATGGAGTTTTTTTTTTACTATCTGGCAAGCTGACTGAGCAAATACACACAAAATTTAAATTGAAACGATAGAAAGAACAAGTAAATAAATTGAAATACGTCCCAATAAATATTTAATAAATCAGTGCAAAAACCGAGTATTAAATAAATTGAAATAATTGAGTAAATAAACTGAAATACATCCCAAACAACAGTACCAAGAACGAATAAGTTAATTGAAATACGCCGTAATTAACGCACTACATTCACTGAGAGACGCGCTTGGCGTTCCATAGAAATGACCGGCGGCTCGCGATTTTTTTTTCCCGTACGAAACATTTACATGAAACTCCACTCGGGCCGTCTCGGCTGAATCGACCCGAAAATCTCATTGCAGAATTCAGGAGGTCAAAATGCCATCAACAGATAAACGTCTACAAAACAACTTCTGAGAGAACGTCTGTCTAATTTTTAAAAATACATTGATGTTACATGTTAATGGGTCGTTTAAAATGACATATAATATTTGATGAAGCTGCACGAGTAATGAAAAGTGTTATTTTAACTTGAGTTACATACTATGACAATTTTAATTTTTTAGTTAGGCCTTGGACCAAGGCTTGGTTTTGCATAATTACCTAGGCCTACAAGACGCTTTCTGGGAAAAGCACAAAGAGTAAGGAAAAGCGCGGAGTTTTCTTCATCAAATGAAACAGGGTGACAGTTATTTTCAAATTAAGAGAAGAGCTGAGAATAGGCAGCTCTAAAATACTGGATGCCATAAGACCTGCCAAAATGGCAGAGCACCAAATGAATGTAAAAATGAGCTAGTTTTATTAATACTAGGCATAGTAATCGGCAGGTTCTTGATTATAATACAAGGCTAGACCAAGTTAATTACATGCAATGCCGAAATTATTATTATTATTATTAATTATTAGAATTCGATCCAACTCGGCCACAGTCAACTCGGCCACAAGTCAACTCGGCCACAAGTTAACTCGGCCACAAAAAGTTTGGCTACAGTCAACTCGGTCACAAGTCAACTCGGCCACAAGTCATCTCGGCCACAAATCAACTCGGCCACAAGTCAACTCGGCCACAAGTCATTTACTGGTACTACATTGTACTAGGCCTAATTGTTATTATTATTGCTGTTATTATTGTTGGCATTGTTGTTATTATTATTGTTTTTATTACCGTTAGTTTTAATATTAATTATTAGTCTTAGCATTAACATTATATATTGTTCAAATTTTTGCTGATATTATTATTATTACACATATATATAGTA